ATGATACGCTAGAAATTACTTGTGGTTAAATATGCCTAATATAAACTAAACAAGATCATATGAAATGATCACGGAGTATTTGCATTTTTCCCCCTCTGGACCTCTTTTCAAACTGAAATGCAAATGCACGTAGTGGGAATAAACAAGAAGAGGTAGAGACATGCCCACGCCTGCAGGGCTGCAATCTTATTGGCATCACAGAGGTGTGGTGAGCTGGCTCCAGTGCCTGGAGTGTTGGAAGGGAAGGGCACAGGCTGTTTAGCAATGAGCAGCTGGAGTGCCAGGAGCTTTGCCTGGGGATAGATGAGGAGCCAACCAAAAGCTTATTCATCAGGATTAAAGGGAGGGCAGGGACAGGAGACATTATAGTGAGGGTCTGCTACAGGCCACCTCACCAGGAAGACCTAAAGGATGAGTCACACTATACACAGATGGGAGCAGAGCAGGGTAGGAAAGCCAAAGCCCTGACAGAATTAAATCTGGCCAGGGATGTCAAGGGCAACAAGAAAAGCTTCTACAGGTAGGTCAGTGATAAAAGGAAGACTAGGGAAAATGTGAGTCCTCCCTGGAAGGAAACAGGAGACCTGGTTACCTGGGACATGGGGAAGGATGAGGTACTCAAGGACTTTTTTGCCTCCATCTTCACCAGCAAGTGCTCCAGCCACACAGCCCCAGTCGCAGAAGGCAAAGGTGGCGACTGGGAGAATGAAGAATCACCCACTGTAGGAGAAGAACAGGTTTGAGACCATCCAAGGAACCTGAAGGTGCACGAGTCCATGGGACCTGATGAGATGCATCCACAGGCCCTGAGGGAACTGGCGGGTGAAGCGGCTAAGCCACTATCCATCGTATTTGAGGAGTTGTGGCAGCCCGGTGAGGTTCCTGCTGACTGGGAATGGGGAAACATAACCCTCATTTTTAAAAAGGGAAAAAAAGGAAGACCCAGGGAATGACAGGCCAGTCAGTCTCACCTCTGTGCCCAGCAAGATCGTGCAGCGGATCCTCCTGGATCTATGCTAGGGCACGTGGAAAATAAGGAGGTGACTGGTGACAGCCAACAGGGCTTCACTAAGGGCAAATCGGGCCTGAGGAATCTGGTGGCTTTCTGTGACGGGGTTACAGAGTTGGTGGGCAAGGGAAGAACAACTGACGTCATCTACCTGGACTTGTGCAAGGCATTTAACACTGTCCCACACGACATCCTTGTCTTTAGATTGGAGACACGTGGATTTGACAGATGGACCAGTCGGTGGCTAAGGAAATGGCTGGATGGTTGCACTCAGGGAGCTGCAGTGTCCAAGTGGAGAGCAGTGACAAGTGGCCTTCCTCAGGGTTTAACACCTTTGTCAGCGACACGGAGAGTGGGATCGATGCACCCTCAGCGAGTTCACTGACAACCCCGAGCTGTGTGGTGTGGGGACAGGCTGGAGGGCAGGGATGGCACCCAGGGGGACCTGGGCAGGCTGGAGAGGGGGGCCCGGGCAAACCTCATGGGGTTCAGCAAGGCCAAGGGCAAGGTCCTGCCCGTGGGCCGGGGCAATCCCCAGCACAAACCCAGGCTGGGCCCTCGAGGAGTGGCTGGAGAGCAGCCCCAAGGAGAGGGACTGGGGGGGTTGGTGGGGGGAAAACTGCCCGTGAGCCAGCCCCGTGCGCTGGCAGCCCAGAACCCACCCGTGCCCTGGGCTGCAGCCAGAGCAGGGGGGGCAGCAGGGCCAGGGAGGGGATTCTCCCCCTCTGCTCCGCTCTGGGGAGACCCCCCTGCAGTGCTGGGGCCAGCTCGGGGGCCCCCAACAGCAGAAGGACCCGGAGCTGCTCGAGCGGGGCCAGAGGAGGCCACGGAGATGCTGGGGGGGCTGGAGCAGCTCCCCTGGGGGGCCGGGCTGAGAGAGTTGGGGGGGTTCAGCCTGGAGAAGAGAAGGCTCCGGGGAGCCCTTCGAGCGGCCTCCCAGGGCTTAAAGGGGGGGCAGGAGAGGGGGGGAGGGACTCTGGATCAGGGGGAGTAGGGACAGGATGAGGGGTGATGGTTTTAAACTGAGAGGGGAGATTTAGATGAGGTCTAAGGAAGAAATTCTTCCCTGTGCAGGTGGGGAGGCGCTGTCCCAGGGTGCCCAGAGCAGCTGTGGCTGCCCCCTCCCTGGAAGGGTTCAAGGCCAGGTTGGACGGGGCTGGGAGCCCCCTGGGCTGGGGGAAGGGGGCCCTGCCAGGGCAGGGGGGTTGGAACTAGATGATGTTTAAGGTCCCTTCCAACCGAAACCTTTCTATGATTCTAAATCCAAATTATTTCCCTGCACTAGTCTTGAAATCCTTGTTCACAAATTTAGTCCAGCCTTGTAAAATTGGAAAGATCCTGGTAATCATTTTTGAGGAACCATTTACATCTGAAAGAGCTGTACTAGACAAATGATCAAAACACTTTTGTCTCACTGATTTTGATTTATCACTCTTTCATAGTAGACAGTGTCCTTTTCTTTTTTTTTTAAACAAATCTAGTTGTTATCCTCACTTCTTGCACAAACTTGTATTTTCTGTGTTTAACCTGAGCCCTTTCCAGCACAGCTCCATGACCAGTGAAATGCATATGCAGTCATTAAGGGTTTATCTTCTTAATGTGGTATCATTTAAAATGAGGTGCAGTGGGTGTTCTACCTCTCCACTGAGATCATCTTCTGAATCACCATGGGATTGTTCCCCCTTCTTTCAGATCCCTTAGTGTAGCTTAAAGAGAGCAGTAGGGTCTTGGTGATACACGCAATGGTAGAAACTAGAATGAAGAATACTTGTGTAAAATCACCTTGTGAATGAAAACAGTCCTTGGAATAGTTTAAATATGAAATAAAAACTAGGAACTGGCCATATCACATGCAGAACTGGAGATATACCATTAGGTTTGCATGTGTCCGTTTAAAACAATCTTTTGTGTCCTGATAGAGAATCAGACTTTGCTTCTCTTTCCTGAAGTTACCATTTTAAATACTTCTGATCTCCTAAGGGGAGAAAGAAATTTAACTTAGGTTACAAGTGTCAACCCTGTTTGTCTCTCAGCACTGTACTTGTTTGGTACTTATCTACAACTGCCTCAAGACACCAACGCAGGAAAAGCAGCCTGCCCTGCAAGGCTCAGACAAACAGGCCATGAATGGCGACAGAAACTGAAGTGCTTTGTGCTGCGACCTAGCTGCGGCCGAAACAGAAGCCCGAACAGAACAACTGAGCGCATTACCCCTCAAGTGAGATTAATTTGCTGACAGCTGACATACTTGCTGCTAGGTATTAAGAGATCACAAACCCAAGCCCTTACTAGTTGCATGTCTATGAAGCATACAGAACAAAATCCGCACTGTCAACAATTTTTGCTATATACCCTAAGAGTCTCCATTATGCTTGGTAAGAAGTAACCTTTCACACCACAGAGGGTTGAGGCAAAGCCTTCAACAAGATAATATAGTTTGCATACAGTACCATTTTCTTTCCTAAAGCTACCAGGAAACGTGGCACGTAGCCCTGCATGCTATCACTGGGAGACAGCTAAATCACACCACCTTGGTTTAACAGAGAGAACCCGTAATTTCACCCAGAAGCTTTAATACACTTACTTACTCCTATATTTTTCCTTCCCTTTTCTCTCTCAGCTTTAAAGGCTTTGCCTATCTTAGCTGTTTAAGCCTTAGCATATCATTGCATTAACACTGTTTTGGTTATCGGTGAGGTGGGAGACAGGTGGGATACATACTTTCCAACATAATTTCACTACTTGTCTAAATATACCATGAAAATCTATTTATTCAGTGAAAATTCTCAACTGTATCAGCAATAGCTTGACTGTGTAGGCAGAGAGTAAAGTACCTGATCTTTCTGTGTATAAAACATAGGTCTCCCCAGGACATGCTGTGAGTCCTTTTCCTGAGACCCGAGATGTTTTTGTTAACCTCAAGCCTTGCTTCTCATACAAATAACTGAGTTTCCTTAGCTACAAGCTGATACCTACTTAGTAAAAAGGGATTTCTTGAAAATGGGTATCATCAGCAATGGGGATGTTGTGCTTATACACTGGGGGATGCTTTGCTTACACTTTTGCCTAAGCTATTTTATAACTCGATGCGTCACTGGCACACTCAGGCTTTTCCACAGGATGCCTCTTTTTATTCTTTGCTTTTCTAAGCCTTTCTAAGCTTTTCTGGGTAGGTCATTACAATGCCATCATGCCGTACTGCCAGCAATGCCAGCGGGATGTGAGGATTACAACCAGTACTGGTGGCTCTCCTGACACGGCTCCTGACTGGAAGCGTCCCTGGCTGAAAACTTCACTCTCCCACTCATTGGATTTTTCCACAGCTGTGTGTTTCCACCTGGACCTGCTCCTGCTGGGAACACATAAGCCGTGTTAAAAAATCCTGATGCCCTGCACTGCCCCAGACTTGCAGTGCCATCCCCTGAAGCAGTGACCCACAATCCCACCTCATGGCAACATTGCCTGTACTTTTTAGGGGAATTCAACAGCTTTTGGGCAAAAAGAGCCAAAAATATCCTTGAAAGCCTCTTAGCTTCGCTTGCCCAACGCATCAGACAGTGTGGAGAGGGACGATGCGGCCCATGTTGGAGGCCAAGCCCTGCCAAAGCAGGCACAAGGAAGGGATGAGGATTGGGGTCTCTAGCATTGCGAGGGGCCATAAATGGGTTAAAAAGGCATTTTTTTTTTTCCCCACACGGGTGAAATTCTGAGGGGAGATAGCCCAAATTGAGGGGAGCCACGCTTACCTGAGGGGAGCTGTGACCTTCCCCTGCCCCACCTGGGGCCGCCCCCTCGTCTGGCGGATGCCTCCCTGAGGCAGGCACAAGGCGGGAAACAAAAATCTTGGGGGGGGGGGTTAGCGTGGTGAGGCCGCATTAACGGGCCAAAAAGGCGGGGTTTTAGCAACACGGGTGCAGCCCTGAGGGGCGGTAGCCCCCGCGGGCCGGCCCCTTCGCCTGGCTACGAGCCGCCCGGGCTGAGGCGAGGCCCCTGAGGCGAAGGGAAGGCGAGAGGAGGCAGCTCTGCTCCGCCTCTTCCTGCGGCAGCCGCGCAGCTGCCGCCATGGCGCCGAGGCGGGCGGGCGCCGCGCTCCTCTCCGCCGCCCTCCTCCTCCTCCTCCTCCCGCTGCTGGGGAGCGCGGGGCTGAGCGGCTACTTCGGCACCAAGTCCCGCTACGAGGAGGTGAACCCGCACCTGGTGAGCGACCCGCTGTCGCTGGGTCCCGCCGCGGCCGGGTCGCAGGTGCCCGCCGCTTGCGCGCCGCTGCAGCTCCGCGCCTTGCTCCGCCACGGCACCCGCTACCCGACGGCCGGGCAGATCCGCCGCTTGGGCGACCTGCACGCCCGCCTCCTCCGCCGCCGCCCCGCCGCCGCCTGCCCCGCCGCCGCCTCCCTGGCCGCCTGGCAGATGTGGTACGAGGAGAGCCTCGACGGGCGGCTGGCGCCGCAGGGCCGGCGCGACATGGAGCACCTGGCCCGCCGCTTGGCCGCCCGCTTCCCCGCCCTCTTCGCCGCCCGCCGCCGCCTGGTGCTGGCCAGCAGCTCCAAGCACCGCTGCCTGCAGAGCGGGGCCGCCTTCCGCCGCGGGCTGGGGCCTTCCCTCAGCCTCGACAGCGACGGTAAGCCCGGCCACCCCCTCCCCTCGCCTTCCCTGAGGGAGCCGTGAGGCCGGTCCCCTGCCCCACGGCTGAGGGGGGGACCCTGCACCTCGCCTCCCCCCCCCCCGTGGGGACGCCGCTGTGTCCCCGGGAGGGTGGCTGGGTGGCCGGTACCCGCCTCCCTGAGGCCTGCGTTTGCTTTCAGAGGTGGAAGTCAATGATTCCTTGATGCGGTTTTTTGATCACTGCGCCAAGTTTGTGGCCTGGGTGGAAGAGAACGACGCGGCGATGTGCCAGGTGGAAGCCTTCAAAGAGGGGCCGGAGATGAGGAAGGTCTTGGAGAAGGTTGCCAGTGCCTTGTGCTTGCCGGTGGAGGAGCTAAACGCAGGTAATGAATGCCTGTTACAGGTGGCTTCGGCTCCGAGCCTGGCTGGGAATAGCTCCCAAAATGTGAAGTTATGCATTTTAATGCATAAGGTAATTTAAAATATGCTGCAGGTCGGAGACACAGTCTCTAATTAAATGCATGAGGCTGTAGGTGTATATTGGTGTGGCAGTAATGAATGCTTGTTAGTCAGTGGTCAGAAGAAAAAGACGTTTGAAAATATTTTTCTTGTAGATGAAATCAACTTTACATTTGTTTGGAAGGACATGAGTGTTAGTCCTTCAATTCTGCTTTTTCAAGCAGGTGTAGCCTCTGTAAAAACTATTTCAATTCAAACTCACAAATAACTGGAGGGAAAAGTGGACCTGTATGGTAGTGTTGTAAATTAATTTCTTCAGCATAGAAGTGCTAGGTTTCCCTGGGTGGTCAAGGGGACACCCCCCAGCAAACAGGCATTGCTGCTGTTTCCAGCAGGTCCCTAAAGCATCAATCCCAAAGTTGCAGCATGCTGCTGTTCAAACCCAGCTGCAAATGTCGAAGGTGAGTAGTGGTAGTTAGAGATTACTCTGTGTTGAAAAGACACACCTCCCCTGTGTTGACTCTTCTGTCCTTTGTGGTGATGAGGATATGCTGCTGGTTGACACCTATAGCATGTACATCAGGAGATGTGCAGCATTTGATGTGGAATACTCTCGTTTTCACCTCATAGCAATGTGTTTTGAAAAGCTTGCGGTCTGAAATTTGGATTCTGCGCCATAATTCTGTTGAAAACTGCTTATTCTTGGTGCTTGGCCTTTGGACTGGCAGTTACTTAACTGCATTATGTTGTTTGAATTGCTAAATTGTAATTACATTTCATTTTAGGAGCAAGTTGAGAGGAAGTTGCTAATTGTGTAGCAGTGGTTTATCTTTTGCTTGTTTGCTGGATTTATTGCAGATCTTGTTCAAGTGGCTTTTCTTACCTGCTCATATGAGTTGGCTATAAAAAATGTGACCTCCCCATGGTGTTCACTCTTCAGTGAAGAAGATGCCAAGGTACATACTACATGGGAGAGAGAATTGAGAATTCTTCAAAAGACGATTTAGTGTTCAGATACAACTCTTTGCATAGTCAGGATTTGTAAGTCACGTGCCCCTTATTTTTCAACTTAATGAACCACTTCTTTGGTATCCAAGTTGCTTTGGATTAATCAAGCAGCAAGACTGAAACACCCTTCTTTATTCAGACTCAAGTACTGGTGCAGTCTTGATTTGTCCTGATAAAAATTGTCTTTTCCTATTGTGCTTAATTCATATAATGCCTTTATATCGGTAACATCAGAAATGCTGTGGACAGCTTTGTTTTGCGTATGATAATCATGATAAAATGCCTTGATTCTGGAGGACATCAAATGAGGTCTTCTAGGTCCTCTAAGATACTTTTTACATGGTTTTGGGGACTATCAGATCTCTGAACCTAATGCCTGTTAAATAAAACTGGTAAAACACAGATAAATGAGACTTAAGTTGGTTCTTCTTTCAGAAGGTACCTGATACACTCTCTGATGTTCAGTAAGGCTCCCCCCCTCCCCCCCCCAGGCTCTTAAGGAAACTTAGTACCTCTGGGAAAGAGGGGAGATCTCTACAGAGATAGGTGGTTGACTAAAGGGTAGGCAGTGGAGTTAGGAGTAAATGCTCTCCTCTCAGAGAGAAGCGGGGTCACCATGGACTTCTGCTGAGACCTGTGCTGTTCAATGCATTTATAAATAACTTAGCAGTGAAGTGGGAAAGCTTCCTGATTATGTGGAGTCACTTGGGATAATGAGAATACAGGGTGTTTGAGAGGCTTTGCAGTGAGGGTGAATTACACAGCAGTACAGTGGCAGGTGGTGTTCACTGCGAAGCAATGCGTATGGGATAAAAAGTTGAAATCTCATATATGAGGCAACTGTCTCTCAGATCCATTGTGCCAATGAGAAGTGAAATTTTGATGGTATAGATGTGTGAAAATGTCGGCTCAGCTACAGTAAAATTAATGAACAAAAATGGAAAAAAAACAACTTAATTGCTAGGAATTGTAAGAAAAGGAACAGAGAACAAGGAGAGCGTTGTGTGCCCTTACATAAATCCGAGGCACAGTTCTATCTTTTTGAGATGTGTGCACATCTCTAGAATGTAGAAGTAGACAAACTCAATTAAAGGTATGGGATTGCTTCTGTCTGGAGGGGGTTTAACAAAGCCAAAGGTCTTTGACCTTCATAAAACAAAATCAGAAATGCTAAAAAAGGCAGTGGATAATGATTAGTGCAATAATAAAAACTTGTGAACTCTAACTTTAGGTACTGGAATACCTGAATGACCTGAAGCAATACTGGAAGAGAGGATATGGCTATGACATCAATAGTCGCTCTAGCTGCATTTTATTCCAAGATATCTTCCAGCATTTGGACAAGGCAGTGGAAGAGAGCAAAAGGTAAATAAAAAGGCTTTTGTGCTTTGACTGCAAACTGTCTTTCTGTGATCAGTCCTGAGTTGGATATAATGTGAATAGAAGTAATTTACTTCCAAACATAAAAAAGTTAGGAGAGTTTGAGCTAGGAGTATTTTAATGGAGAGAATACAATTTTTAAGAGTAGCATTACTGTAAAGAGTGTATATATATATATTTTGGTTTTGTTCTTCCATTGATGCTCTTGTGCCCAGCTGTTGTATTTCCATCTAGCTTCTTGATCCACACAGGCCTTCAAGGGACAGCCCAGCTGCTGTGTCGGATAATGGTGTTCTCTACCTGTACAGTTTGAGAAGAGGCCACTGAGTTAGAGCAATGAGCTTTTTATTTAAAATGTCCTTGTTAAAAATAATTTGTGGCAAAAATGAAAGACTGGGGGTTGAAAGGATCCCTGTGATACATTCTGTTAGCTGGTTACTTAATCACTTCAGAGTGGCAGTCTGTCTTTCTGCACGTGCTTGATTTGAGTCTCTTGCATTATTAAGGGTGTTGAAATGTAATTACGGAGATATAAATATTACATACCAATCCAAATGCTTGGTTATCTTGGACCAGAACAGGCTGTTGCAGGATTGAAGAGGCTGGAGCTGTAACAGCAAGCTGGTCTTGTAAGAAACCTGCTTTGTTGTAACTGGGGAAGGGCAAACTTCAGACAATATACTCAGTGTTCTGTAAGAACTGGAAAAAGACGCTTCTGTCCTGAAGTCATAAATGCCTTGATTTGTTGCATGAAGCCAAAGTCAGTGGTTTAGCTGGCAAGTCTGAGAACTCTGTCTAGGATATTCAGTTTCCCATCCTTATTCTTTTACAGCAAAGCAGTAGTTTGGGAACAACACTGTAGCTGTAGAAAGGTATTAGGCCTTACAAATAGCTGTTAGTAGACTTGAAGAGGCAATAATCGGGTGTCTCCAAAGGGTGGTGCTCTGCTAAAGTGTTTTGTCTTCATCTGTTGCCATGATTTGACGACAGTCGTTTTGTGTCAGTGGAAGAACAATAGCAGTGGAACTCCATCCGCAGAGAGTTGCACAGTCCTCAAAACTGCCTTTGTAGTGTCATGGATGTAGCCATCCCTATACTTCCTTAAAAATTAGAGATGAGATGTGTGTACTGTTTTTGTGTATTGTTTACTCCTGTCAGTCAGCAGTTGTGGTTCAGTGTCAGTTTGGTGTTGATCTTGTCTCATGTGAATCAGGATGATGGGGAGAAGTAAAATATGAACAAAACTGAGATCTGTTGTGGTGTGGAGAAAACAAAGGCTTCAGTTACAGGTTGGGGTGTTTGTGCAGTAGAAATAGCTGCTTTTGCTCTCATGTTGTGATAATGTTATTTTATGAGCTGATTTAGGCTTAAATGCAGTGCATTCATATGAAAACTAATTTACAACCTGTTCCACATGCACACTGAGGAATTATAAATTCATAGTTTAGTGATAAGTCACATGAATTAATACCTTAGCGGAGAAGTGTGGAAATGTTTATAATACTACACAATATCGAAGATGAGATCTTAAGATTGTGTAAATATTGTGCCACTAAATACTGATAGAAACCAGTTTATAAGTAGCATTAACTTACAACCATCAAATGCCGCTTTGGTGTTGATATGTAAATGTTAGTTACATGTGGTGGATGTTCTTGCATTCCTAGCATCCTTGGGACTTTATTTTGATATTTAATATATTAAAGTAGATCTACCTAACACTCAGCAGAATGATGTTAGTAGCTTTGATATTTCAGAAGAAAAGCAGGAGTCATGGATATTTGAGGCTGGTTGTATGTATTTTTTAAGTGATAACCCTTTGGGAGACTTTTCTGTCTGTCTGTCTGTCTGTCTGTCTGTCTGTCTGTCTGTCTGTCTGTCTGTCTGTCTGTCTGTCTGTCTGTCTTTGCTTTTAGTAGGCAGACTGAGATTAGAAGTAGCGTTCACATTTTGGATTGGAGGAATGATCCATAAAGTTGATTTTAACCATTTTATAGTAGAGAAGACGGCAAAGAAGATTTGTTCCTTCAGGAGTTTGCTGACTGAGGATCCAAGCTGGACCCTAACAGTGGTAGAAGAACTGTGTGTTAGTTGAAGCATAATTGTCAGTCAGCTGGCTCTTTTGCTGTCCTTTAGTGTCGGATGCAGAGGGAGGGAGACCCTGTGTTCATCACTGGGGCTCTCAGTGATGCAGGACTGTTGAGGTCATCATGTATCATACATGACACGGTTTCTTTCATGTAAAGGGGCATTATCGCTGTTTATCTTTTGGGATTCACCTGGAAAATCAGACTGACTGTTTTGAAGAGTGTCAGCTTAGTACACAATAAGGTAAATGTGTTGAAAAATCTGCTTTGAGATGTACGTGTAGGCTTCCCCAATGCTTCCATCCAGATTAGTGCCTTCCTCCTGCTCTAATGGTTATGTGAGCACAGGGGAGGGGGCTGTTCGGGGCTCTGCTGTGTCGCATGGCAGCAGTGGTCAGGGGCCTTTCTGAGCCATACCTTTGCTGTGCACCAGCCAGCACAAGGGAGACACCTCTGTTCATTTTGCCACGAAAGGGTTAAAACTTGCAGTTGCAAACGTAAAGTAAGTTTGGCTTTGGGGAGGAGTTGCTGTGAAGGAAAGGTGGGCTGAAGGGAACAGTGATAGTGACCCCTCTTCTGCCAGGATGGTTTAAGAAGTTGCGCTGTCAAATGTTCACTCTGGCATCTGGAAATTTAAGGCGTGTGTGGGAGTCGGTGGTGCCTCTTGTTTTGGTAGTGGTAGAGTCAAAGCAGTGGTTATGCTAGATAACTGTTCAAAGAAACTACTTCTCCATCCTTTCTTCAGCCTACTAGAGAGCTAAATGAGAAATGCATTAGAATGCAGGTCATTAACGGCCAACTGGGAGCAAGTTGACAAGCATGCTGCCTGGTTGCATCCGTCTGCTGCATCTGTCTCTCAACATTGGGAACGAGAAGATCAGGAAGAAGTGCAGGTTAACAGAAGAACAGGCAAGCAAGATCCTTAGGACCCCCCTCTCCTTCTGAAATCTGAAAAATAACTTCTGAATGTAGCTTGGCTCATGTAAAGGAGTGTGATCAATTTTGTTTCCTTTTAGTGTAATTTACTCTTTGAACAGTGATAAACAGCCTTTCAATCCTTAAATTATATGCACTAGTTGCAGCAGTGTGTCTCAACTGTTTATAAGATATCCCTGTCAGTTTAATAATAATATTGATGATAATAATAACAAAGTTGTAGTTAAAAAAAATCTGTGTCTGTACTTCTAATTTATTGAGAACTAGATCAGCAGTCACTAAATTAGAAGGTGGAGCAGGGTTCTTAGGGAGGAGCAGGTAGGTGTTGGAGAAGGAGCTGTAGAGGACCAAGATAACTTCATTGTGTCTTTCAGCTTTGGCTGCAGAAGTGCAGTTTTACAATCTCTGGGGGTCTCATGTTGTATTGCCACCACAGAGGGAGGCAGGTAGTGAGGTTACATATGTGTGTAAAGTGCCAGGACCTTAAAAATCTTGCAACATTCAGAGCGGGGTAAGCGGTCTGTTTGGTCTGCATCATCCTAAATGGGAACCTAAAGCTTCTGAAGTGCATTGCCTTGCACAAAAGGAGCGTGTCACTCCATGCCACAACGTAAGGTGGCAGTCTTAAAGCACTGAAGATTTGAGCATAATCTGAATCGGGTAATCTGATGCATTTGAGACTATGTGGAAGTCTGCCACTGCCGATGTATTGGAACAGTTTGGGTCTCTTGTGATCTAGAGAGCAGAGGTGCAACTCATGCTTTTTCATCTAGGGAAATTTATCCCAGATCCTGTGGCAATATGAGAGTACAAATGAAAACAAGAAACCATACAGATAAAAAACTATGCCTGTGTATATGTGCGTGCATGAGTGCCTTTTTTTATATTACCGTCCAACTTCAAACTTCAAGGCAACAGGTTGCATACTTCTGCAGCAGTTCATTACTCAGAAAATGAACCTTTATGATGATGAAATGTCTTTTAGTGGAACGTTGTTTCAATTTAGCAAAGTTTAATGTAACTGGCTGCTTGCTTTAAAAAATGAAGTACAACACATTTACTTCCAGAGCATTGTCTTTGCTCCAAGTTCTCCTTTCTTTCTGGAAATGTTAGATTGGGCTGTCCAAAAGTAGAAAGGGGAGCATTTCTGTTCCAGCAAGAAGCTGAGGGATTTGGATTAGCTGTTCTGCTCCAGGCTTGGCAGTGAACAGCGTTGGCAATGCTGCATTTTTGTAGTGTACTTTGTTTTGTTTTCATTCCCACTTACAGCTGAATTAACCTTACTCTTATGGTAACCCTGTTTCTTCCATGAATGTTCTTGACATTGCAATCTGATTGCTCACCGAACTGAGTTGCCTTGTGAGTTGCCTTGTTAAAGCTCACATTCCTTTCTTCTGGGGAAAGTACACTCTGCTGATTAGTCTATCCTTAAGAAAGTGATGAAGGTGGTAATAGATACCTATTGTGAATTATTCCCACCTTCAATTTGCAGTGCAAAAGTTTCAGACTCTTCTAGGATCTTTCATCATACAAATCCCAATAGAGTTCTTGGTTTAAACTAGCAATAGTCTCTTCTGTGTACATTCTGCTATACAGCAAGATAGTTTTAAAGGCTGTGAAGGGGATTTTTGCTCTGTGATTGCTCTTGTCAACCGTTCCCATCCAGGCAGCTGATGGAAAGGTGTTGGAATATCTATTCAGGAACTTGGGTTTATCAGTAGTTGTGTTAGTGACCACCTAATGTTAGCGCACGCATTCATGGACCCTATTCTTCAGCACCCTCAGTAACAATGTCTATAACAAAGTATAAATGTCTAATAAAGATTAATTTTTCAGTAGAAAGCATCTTCTGCTTGAGACTGTACCACAGTTGCAGTGGGCCTTTCAGGACCACATTTCTCCATATTTTCTTACCAGTCTCTAAGGATATGTCATGGTCGCACTTCTAGGGAGAGGTAGGGG